CCACGCTGTCCTTTCTGTCCCCCCACGCTTCCCCTCTCCCCTGGGCTGAGGAGGAACACGTCAATTTCTTGAACTCCTAGGAACAGGCGCCTGATCACGTGGAGGTGGTGGTCACAGGCTCAGAGCGTGAACGCATCACCTCGCCTGGGAGACTGCGGTCATGTGGCCTTATGGAAAGTCCTAAGAGGGGACCGAGTTATATATATGGTCTCCATTTCCCCTCCTGCTCCACCCTCCACCACCCCAGTGACTAGTATGGACGTTATCTCCTCGGCCCCTAAAGTAATCCTAGACTATGGTTGGCCAGCTTTTCTGTAAAAGGCCAGATAGCAAATATTTTTGGTTTGGGGAACAATAAGGACTGTTGCAACTACTCAAATCTGCTGTTGTAATGTGAAAACAGCCAAACACAGTTACATAAACAAAGGGACATGGCTGTATTCCAATAAAGCTTGGTCTGCGGACAGTGGATTTGAATTTCATGTAATGGTTATGTGTGGTGAAATACCATTATTTTGATAATGGTATTCTTCTTCAAGAATTCTTCTTCAAGAATTTTTTTGAAAATGTAAAAATTGGCCAGGTGTGGTGGCTCATGCCTGCAATCCAGCACTCTGGGAGGCCAAGGCGGGAGGATCCCTCGAGGTCAGGAGTTCAAGACCAGCCTGAGCAAGAGACCGTGTCTCTACTGAAAAGAGTAAAATTAGCCGGACATGTTGGCGCATGCCTGTAGTCCCAGCTACTCGGGAGGCTGAGGCAGGAGGATCACTTGAGCATAGGAGTTTGAGGCTGCTGTGAGCTAGGCTAATGCCGTGGCATTCTAGCCAGGGTGACTGAGTGACACCTTATCTCAAGAAAAAGAAAGTAAAAATGATTCTTGGCTTGAAAGCTGTACAAAAACAGGAGGCAGGTCATAGCATGCCGACCCATGTCCTTGACCTCCAAGTCAGACAGGTTCTAACATAGATTTCCATGGTTGGGGCGGGGGGCAGGGTGGGCCCCAGCAAGTCCTTTCTTAATTACTCACAGTGTCACCTTAGACAGACTAAGGTCCTCATGCTCCTTTAAGCTTCACGTTGCTCACCTCCATAGTTGCTCACCTTCCATACCTTGATGAGAATTATTAGAATGATCTCAGCGCTTAGCAAACAGTAGGAACTCCGTATGTGGGCCTTCCCTTTGCAGCCAAAGTTTAGCCTGAAGTGAGCGGTCGACAAGCAAACAGGACAGAGGCAGCTTTTTCTGGACTATGTGAGAGCCACAGCAGTGTCACCAAGGCAACTGTCTAGGGCTCAGGGTACAGGTTTCTCTGTAAAGTAAGCAAAGGCTAGGTGAGGGCATCCTCCCTCACAAGAGTTTCTGGCTTTGGGAAATGCTGGCCCCACAGGGCTCCAGTGAGCCAGTTTTGAGTCAGGAGGGACAGCTTGTGACTTCCCAGGAGGGGAAGATCGAGGGGCCTGAAAGATGCCACCTGAAGAGAAGCCCAGGGGACAGGATGCCTTCGTCGAGAGCCTGGGCTCAGGGCTAAGAGAGGCAGTGCTGCTGACCCTTTGGCCTTGGCTCAAGAATGGCAACGACACCTTGTTAGTGGCCGTTTTCCATGGGTGGGGGAAAAGCAGGGTGCTCCCTCAGCAGGTCCTCACCCTGGCCCAGAGGTGCTGGGATTATAACGTGGGACAGAGGCGACCTAGATCAACTTTGGAGCCACTGCGGCTCTTCTGCAGAGGAGGGCTGCTAGACAGGGTCGGTTCTCCCGTGGAATCACTATCAGTTCTTGCTGCAGAACACAGATGGGTGCACACTCTCTAAAGGATGGAGATATGTTCAAATCAATATGGACTGTCTCGATTTAAAATGTTATCTATTCACGGGAGGGGAAAATTCCCACGACAAGTCAAAACAACAATGATCCTCTTGGTAGTGGGGAAATTGTGATTTTTCTGTTTCTTTCCCAAGAATGAACATGTTACTTAGAAAAATCTACAGACTGAGTGGACAGGGGAGGGGTGGAGGGAACAGCGTCTTACTGCTCCTCCAAAGTAGAACGTGAGGGGCCTCAGATCAGCTAGGAAGAACCTGAGGCCACCTGGCTGAGTGGGCGGGTGCCTACCAAGCCCCTGGACCTTTGGGGCTTGACTGACTCAGAAATCTGGATTGGGGAAAGTTTACTCTCTGTGCTGTTCCTATGTCCTATAATTATTCCCCTTATTTTCTTGGCACTTTTTAAAAAAGTTTTCCATTATTAGCAACTGGGCCAAGGAGACTCAAAAGAAAAGAGAGGGTGCATCTCTCCTTAGGCTGGAGTTTGATAAATGCAACAGCCTGCCCCGCCGGCTGGGTTTGGTGGCAGTAGCAGGAACCAAACGGAGAGAACTCCAAAAGCAAGTGAAATGAACCACAGAGAAAGGTTGGGGTCATTTGTGTAATTAAGCTTTACTTCCTTGGAGACCTTCCTCTTAGAGGTTTTTTTGTTTGTTTGTTTGTTTTTTTAAATCAAACCTGGAGGGCTCTGGGTTTTATGGAGAAGCTGTTTTCATGTCCCTTTACAGGTGGGTCCCACCACTGATGTCCAGCTGGGGTAACCAGGGGGGCAGCACCCCTAGCCCCAACCCAGGAGGCTCACGGGCACCGCCTGCCTCCGTCTGTCCACACGTGGCTTTTATCTCTGCGAGCGCGAAAGCATCTCCTCCGCTCCAACAGGTCCGGGACGTTGCAGCATGGACCTCGACACGCTCGTGGGGCAGGCGGACCTCCAGGCTCAGGGCTTGGGAGAGATGAGTTCCGACGGAGACTCCTGTGCAGCCCTGACACCCTCTCTGCAGAAACGGATCGACTAAGTTGCCTGAGCTGAGGATCAGCTCTGAACCCAGTGTGAATTCCACTCACGCCCTCGAAGCCAAGACTTTGCTCTTTGGGAACCCTGTGGTGGCAGGGTGGGGAGATCAAGGACCCTTGTTCATATGTGCTCAGTCAAAGCCACCTGCTGCCAAGGGACAAGGTGGCAGCTTGCGGCGCTGGCAGCAGAGCATTCCAGTGACGTTTACCTGGTAACTGCCAGGACCCTGCAGGCCGAGATGAAGGGTGTGTCATAGGAAGGGATCTGAGATGTCCCGTTCTCTGCAGGAAAAAGGGTGCCGGGATCTCCCGGCACCAGGCAAGACGGCCGCAGCAGGAATCCGCGTGAGAGGCCCTCAGAGGATGAGAAACGCTGGCCACCACCCCCACCCAAGAGGTTTTCCAGGAAGACAGGAGAACTTTCCATTCATACGAAAGCACAGACACGAATCTTTGAAAGGTAGTACCGTTTTATTTAGTGTTGTAGGAAACTTTAGGTTATTTCTTAAAAACGAAAACCAAAGAAATTCAAAATTCCCAAAGTCGCAAAGCAGGAAACCATAATTCTGTAATCCAGAAACGCTGGGCGATCCTTCAAGTGGCAAGAGAGGACATCAGTTTGTAGCTCACATAGTAGGTGTGGGGAGGCCAGGAGGGGAGGCTGGTGTGGACGCTAGGAGTTAAAGTTCTCCATTTAAGGCAATTAACCTTTTGGCCCTGACGGATCATTCATCAGTCAGTCTAAACAAAGGAAAAAGGTTGATTGGGAGAAAGGACCCAGGGAGGGAAGATGGTGCATCCTTTAACCTTAAATTGCCTCTCTACAGTGTGTGGCTAAGTGTCATGGGCCTTCCATGCCCTCTCTGGCCTCGATCTCCCACCCTTGGTAAAGCCAGAAAGCACGCACCTGCATCTCATTTCCTGCAGGCAGGGCATTTCATCCCACCATCAACACCACTCGGGGTCCACAGCCCTTCAGCATGGCAAGGGGCAAACTCCCTCCTCTTCCCTTCCCCTACCTTGACGAGGTTAACATGCTGGAATAAAAGACAAGGGCAGGAATGGGCCCAGTGGCTCACGCCTGTAATCCTAGCACTCTGGGAGGCCGAGGTGAGAGGATCCTTTGAGCTCAGGAGTTCAAGACCAGTCTGAGCAAGAGCGAGACCTGTCTCTACTAAAAAAAAAAAAAAAATAGGAAGAAATTAGCTGGACAAGTAAAAACATATAGAAAAATCTAGCCGGGCATGGTGGCGCGTGCCTGTAGTCCCAGCTACTTGGGAGGCTGAGGCAGGAGGATCTCTTGAGCCCAGGAGTTTGAGCTAGGCTGACGCCACGGCACTCACTCTAGCCTGGGCAACAGAGTGGGACTGTGTCTTGGAAAAAAAAAAAAACAAAGGCGAGAGCAGGACACCAGCCACGGTCCAAGGAAGGAGATTATATGAAACAACGGGACAGAGGACTGGCGTGTTTCAGGACGCTGGCCTCCGGCTGCAGTTCACTGGTATTTAACCTGATGCTCCCCTCCGGTCCTGACGGCTCTTTCTGGAGGCAGCCAGGCAAGGCCAAGAAAAGAACTGCCCCAGCTTCTCCAGACCACAGCCCCTCCCTGGCTGTGAGTTTGCTGTGCCCTCTGACGCCACCAGCTGGCGGAGCCCCAGGGCTCCAATTCGCCACCTTCTGCTAGTGGCTCAGAGCAGCTAAAGCTTCTAGACAACCACCCCGCAAAGCTGAGTCCTGAAGGACAACAGGTATTCACTGAACGGCCTCCAGGTTATCTACCTTGTGAGATGCAGGAATGCTATAAACTGGATTTTTTTCCCAGCAGTGGCAGAAGCCAGTCACACCCTTGAAGCCAATTGTCCTTCATTCTCCAGAGTTTCCAAGTGGCATTTCAGAGCACAGGAATTCACTGCTCCAGGAGGAGGAGCTCCCTCCCACACCCTGAGTCACACGCCCCAGGTCCTAGCAGCAGATAGCCCCAAATCAGCCATCCTCGCAAACAGCGCAGGTCTCCGGGCCAGCTCTCCAAGGGAAGAGAGACCATTCCGTGCACACCTGCCCTACCCGCCCCCCTTGCCCCGCACACTTGGGTTATCACAGTAAAAATGCATTCATATCAAGTAAAAAATAATGCGGAACAAATACATGCATGTGCATTTCTAGAATTCAAGTGAATATACGGGTTTTTTTTATAAGTTTGTAAATAAATTTCATAGCACTACAAAAATACAAGTCGTCTGAGAAGTTTACAGTGGTCCCCAGTATCGTAGGAGGAGGAATTAAATAAAATAAAATAGCTGTAGATAATTAAAAGCTAATTAGATAAATCAAGTTACAGTATCATCCTTCAGATTAAAGTGCTCCAAAATGACCAATGTTGCAGCAGACAGGAGCCTGAGAAGGGATCCTGCTGCCGGTAATCTTGCCTCTTACCCTCAATATAACAAGAACACACACAGAAGACAGTCCCAATTTAATCACTGCTATCATCTCAACCCCTGCCCAGGCCATGGGCCTGTGACAGTCTTCCCCTAGGAGAGAGCACGAGATTTGCTAAGATTCTATCACAGCCAGGAGGAAAAAATGAGCAATGCAGAAATATTCCAGTTCCAATATTAGGTGAGTAACAATGAATTTACCCGAAGAATCTGAACTGGTGGTTTCAGTTAAGAAGGGGTCAAGTACCCTAGTTTAAAAAGTATATGTCTATTAATCTGGTTTTGAAAATACAGCACTGCAAAAAATATCATCTTCTTGCTCCTCACAATTTTATAACAAGGAGGTAAAATGCCTGTGAGTGTATTCGTGAAGGAAAAGGAAAAAGAAACAACAGTTTAGAGGCCGAGGCATTTCTTCTTTCTATTGGCTTTTAAGTTTGATTAACTGCACTGAGCCCCTCACTGCAACTCCCCCAGTATCCCAGAAGTAACTTGGGTTTCCTTTTGGGCAGGGGCAGGAGGTATTCGAAGGACAGACACAGGGACACAGCTGAAGCCCTTCGTGGCCCAAGACTGTGGGTCTCTGTCCCCTGCACAAGGAAGGGGCTTCTTCAGCTTGAGGACCTGGTGGACCCTGTCTCTCCCCAGGAAGTGTTGCCAAGGAAACCAGCCGAGCAAAGGCACAGGGGGAGAGGAGGGTGGCCAAAGGAATCCCACTGACAAACGTCACTCTGTACCAGGTGGCAGTGGGTGCCGGGGTCACCAACCCCGATCAAGGCACGAACAGGCAAGTCAAGCCAGCAGGAACCCTGCTGCCACCAAGGGAGGGACTCTGACCAACTCCCATCACAGAGTAAAGAGTAATTCTCCTAATTCCTGTGTTGTGCTTTTCCTGTCTCCAGCAGAATGGCCCCACAGGTCTAAAGGGCACATTTTAAGGCTCGAGAATAGAAGTTCACACGTTTAGAAAAAAGGCAGCTTGCTCGACATCTAGAAGGCACGCCCAGAGGCTTTCCCTAAATGCCTCTGTTCCCATCAAAAAAAAAAAAATAAGACTCAAGTCTGAGAACCTGGGTAGGTTTATATGGTATCAAAATTTAGCATCTGCAGCCAGAAGCACACCTGAGCTACTCAAAAGCCAAGAAAGGATGCGTAACACAGCACCGACTGCAGGGTCCTCTTCTCATTTCACCCGAAGCTTTGATGACCGGAGGATATGCATTGGAAAAAAGTCTCCACAAGAAGGAAAGAAAGCCCTAGTGTTAAAACGCATTAATACCTCCTTGTGCCACCCAGTCTGGGGCTCAGGGTCAGACCCGATGACCACATCTCTGGTGGGCATGAAACATCTACAAACCCAGGTAAAGGCACAGCGGCGTTTAAAAGTTACAGGCGTGGGAACACACAGCGGAAGATTCACTGTAATCATTAACCTGGCTTCAGTGGGTGGAGTTGACTCTGGCCAGATAACTCGCGGGGGAGCCGGCGACCCGGAGCCCGGCAGGTTGGTCGGCTCTCGACCTCGGGAGCGGGCGGAAACAAACCCACAGAAAGCACGCCTGTTTTGCTCCTCCGGCGATTTACATCTTCCCCGCTTTTTTGCCGACCTGGCCCGGGACGCGGAGGATGTTGGGCGTCTCCTCCATGACCCTGACCAGCAGGTTGTCGATGTAGTCCTCCAGCTCCCGCACCTGCAGCTCCTTCCTGCCGATGGTCTCCTTCTGCTTCAGGACCAGCTGGACGAGCTCGTCGCGGGTCAGCTGCGCGTAGGCAAAAGCAGGGTCTGAGGGGCTGTACTTCTGCACGGGGGACACGGAGGAGGGGGAGATGTCACCGAATCGGCACAGAAATCTACTATCTAAAACAGACGCAATGGCCGGCCGTGGCTCACGCCTGTAGTCCTGGCGCTCTGGGAGGCCGAGGCGGGAGGAATGCTCAAGTCAGGGGTTCGAAACCAGCCTGAGCAAGAGCAAGACCTCTGTCTCTACTATAAATTGAAAGAAATTAATTGGCTAATGAATATATAGAGAAAAAACTAGCCGGGCATGGTGCTGCATGTGCCTGTAGTCCCAGCTACTCGGGAGGCTGAGGCAGGAGGATCGCTTGAACCCAGGAGATTGTGGTTGCTGTGAGCTAGGCTGACGCCACGGCACTCACTCTAGCCTGGGCGACAAAGCGAGACTCTGTCTCAAAAAAAAAATAAAATAAACCCCAAAAGAACAAAATGTTACTTGTGATCTGGGTCTCTTGGGAATACATTTTCAATTTAGAGTGAAAAGAGTCTGCTGACTCAAGTTTTCTGTAAAGGGCCAGAGAATAAATATTTTAGATGTTGCAGGATACCTATGGCCTTTATTGCAAGTTCCTCTTTGGCCTTTTTTGCTTTTGTTTTCTGTTTTATGAGCACTTAAAGATGTATTAATAAAAAGCATACATGGCTCACGGGCTGGGGGGGGCGGGGGGGGCTCTGGACTTGACTCCAGGTTTGGGGTTTAAGAAACATCATCATGGGGCGCGGTGGGCTCACTCCTGTAACCCTGGCATTCTGGGAGGCTGAGCGGGGAGGATCCCACAAAAGTTCGAGACCAGCCTGAGCCAAGAGCGAGACCCGTCTCTATTAAAAATAGAAGAATTAGCCAGGTATGATGGCACATGCCTGTTGTCCCAGCTACTAGGGAGGCTGAGGCAGGAGGATCGCTTGAGCCCAGGCAAATGCAGAGAGTTATGATGATGCCACTGCACTCTAGAAGGGGCGACAGAGTAAGACTCTGTCACTAAAAAAAAAAAGCCATCATGGGAGGACTCAGTCCTCCAAATGAGCATTTGCTCGTTTGGGTACACTAGGAGCTTGCACGACCAAACCCCAGCGCAGAGTTGGAGACGGGCCCCAAACCAGAAGGGGCCCATGACAGAACCCAGCACCCAGCACGAGGTTGCTAACGAGGGCCCTCTTTGCAGTGCCGCAGGTCGCTGCTCACCCCGACCACATGCTGCTGATCAAGCCGCACCCACAGGGATTGGTGATTAGCCGACGCAGTGGCCAGAGGCCCCACCTGAAGTTATTTCATACTCGCAAAATATGCAGAGTCTACCCCAAGAGCAACCCGTCTTCACCCTCAGCCATCTAGTCGCACCCTCTGGGCGCACGGCAGCCTGTGCCCTGCACGGTCGCTGGGCTTCCCCGGAGCCTATAATCCGGGACGCCTGGAGCCCAACTGCAAGCCCGAGAGGCCTGAGCCACAAGGAAACACAAGATAAAGATTAAACAGAAAGTAACATGTTGTGCAAGTCTCCATTAAGGGAGACAAAAGTGACTTTTCCTGAAATCTGTGGCTCAGGAGGATTTATAAATTTAAAGACACAAGACGGAGAGGATTTTTGCCTGCAGAACTGCGAGGCAGTTAACAGTTTCGCTGCCCTGGGGGTCTATGGTTTCTCGGTCTGCAGGAAGGCCGAGAGACTGCCCCCTCCAACCGCAGCCAAGGCAAGAGCAGAACCAACTCCCACCCTTCCACGACACGACTGAAGCCCCGGCAGTCTCGAAAAAGAAGAGAAAAGGACTTTGAAATCAGAAGAGCCTGGTTATGTGATGATTTGAAAATTACAACACACATTCCAGAGCGTTACAAAAGGTGAGCACTGGCCACAGAGAACATACTAATGCAAGCAAGAACAGCGGCCACCGTCGCATACTTCCTACCAGGATTTTCACCCTGGATTTTGCTTTTTACGTGGGTGTGACAATGATCACGTACACGCAAATGTGTGCCCGACTCTTTCCATATAATGTTATAACACAGATGATTTTTGGATCTAGTTGGCTGTACTATTTAAAAACAGAAGCATTAAAAACCACCTTGGTAAATAGTAACCTCCCAGTTATAAATCGTATAAAGGACGGAGACCCTAAAACAATAACCAAAGGGGGGAAAGATCGTTGTAGTAATGATCCAGCTAGCTTTTCATAACTTTAGGTATGCAATTTCTTCCCCTAACCTCTCTCTTATTTTGCAGTATTCCAAAGCATAGTTATTTTCATAAACACTGGCTTATGCCTTGGCACAAAGCATCAATTATGTGGCAGGCCAACAGCAGTCTCCAGGAAGCTCAGCACACTCACTCGGAATGTTTGCTAGGTATGCCGGGACCCAGGGCTTGGCCGCGGCAGGCAGAGGGACTGCATGCAGCAGGGCTTCCGAGCCATGAGCAAAATGAGCGGTGGGCGCCTTTGTTTTGAGGCAAGTTATTCTCTTAATCGGGGCCAGGAGAGAGTAGCCCCTGACTAAATGAGCTTGGAAGAGTAAAAATAAAAGTAGGAGCAAGGGTCTTGCCAACTTCCTGAAAACAAGGTGCCTGTTTCTCTTTGAAGCTCTGCTGCATTCCACAATAAATGGGAGAGGAGAAGGGAGGCTGCTAAATGACCCTCATTTTTCATTACTGGTCCCCTTTGTGCTGTTCTTTTGCCCCACTATGCTGGGGAATATCATTAACTCTAGGGAGATAAGTGCTGTCTCTTCTACGTGCAGCACCCACACAGAAGCCGGGCAAGCTGGTCAAGGTGAGAGCACATTTTCAGGCGAGGGCTAACATGTAGTAGGTACACAGTTCTGGCTGAGGCTGGGAATTGTGAGGCCGATGCTTACCACCTGCCCTGTCAGCACGTCCTGCAAGAGAAGACAGGGCAGGTCTGCTGGAGGGTGCCAGCTTGTCTTCAGCAGTAATCAGTTATGATTACTTGGCCTCTTTTGTCCAAAACTCAGACCTCCAGCTTCCAGTGAATCTTCATCCCCGTTCCTAGCAGTAGAGATACAATGAAGCCTGAGGGAGTAACTGCCACCTGGCACTTAGAGAAACACTTTCGGCCACGGACAATGGATCACAACTGTAGTCCCAGCTACTGCAGGGGCAGGGGCTGAGACAGGAGAATTGCTCGAGGCCAGGGGTTCAAGGCTGTAGTGTGCTATGATCATGCCACTGCACTCCAGCCTGGGCAACATAGCAAGACCCCATCTCCCCCACCAAAAAAGCAACAACAACAACAAAACTATTTGATATCTTGGAGTCCACGGGACTGTAAAATCTATAGCTGAGTGAAACTTTAGCTGCCCTGATTAAAATAAAAATAATGTTTACTTCTACAGACTGCAGTTCCCAGGAGTCAGTTCCTCTGCACACATTTGAAATATAATACATCCCTGCCACTACGGGTCACCAGTGCCTCCGTAAATCATTCTCTTCCAGTCCCCACGACAATGAGTCCAAGACCAGGGATTTACAGCAAGGCCATATTCTAGATCTTTCTGATTTTAGACCCAGAAAGGGCAAGGTGAAGACACTCCCAGGCAGAGATCATCTGGAAGGCTGGTTTTGTTTTTGAGGGGAGGAGTGTTTTTTTTTTAAAGTTAGCCCATGCTTTTTTAAAGAGAAGAGACCCTCTAAACCAGCAATACTCTCCCCAGAAATTTAGCTTAAGGACACCATCTAAAAGAAAGAAGAGAAAAAGTTCTATGCAGGAAACTGTTGACTGCAGTGTTAATTCGTATTTAAAACCGGAAAACAACCTCAACAGCCAATAACAGGGGAATGGTTAAGTAAATACTGGTATGACCGTTCCAAAGACTTAAAATAGCAACATGCAAAAATGCTTATGATATACTGTTGTGTGGAAAAGAGAATTTAAGATTATTTCCATACATGTGAAGGAGCTGAAAAAAATTATCATTTTGCAGCCATCATACTCACTGATGGATATGAAAGCCTGTTAGTAAAAGTTTGATGAAGAATAGGACATTCACATGGTCTGAAATGAATTCCCCACAAATGTTTTTTTTTTCAATTGTAAAGGGATAAAACAGCAACCTTGCCATGGAGAACCTGGCAGATGCCACTTAATCATCAGTTACTGCTGTCCCTGGTGGGACGATCTGACACTCTTTAGATGAAGCACGGAGAACACGTTATTTGCACAGTTTAATTCCTGCCGAGAATGAGTAACGTCAACCAAAGCACGAGGAGAAATCAAGACAGGCCCTAACTGAGGAAGAGTCTACAAAACAACTGATCTTAAACTCTTAAAAAGTGTCAAGGTCTTGAAAGATTAAAAAAAAAAAAAACCACAATGCTAAGGAACTAGTCCAGAGCAAAGGGGAATACAGAGACAAGACAACCAAACGCAGTGGAGGGACCCTGGACTGGGAAACAAAATCCCCAAAAAACTAAAAAAAAACTAGAGTGGGACAACTGGGGAAATTGAAATATGGACCACGGCTGAGAAAACAGCGTTACATCCATGTTAAATTTCCTGATTTTGATTGAATGTCCTTATTCTTAGGAATTATATACTTTTTACCCCTTAACCTATTTAGGGGTAAAAGAAGCACAAGGTATACAACTTACTTCCAAGTGGTTTGGAAAGAAGAATGGCGCACGGCCCCGTGCAGGCACAGCCGGAGGAAGGGCGGGGCGTGAGGGTGGCACGGCAAACCCGGCCGAATGTGGACAACTGGACAGTCGGGAGGAAGGGTTCACAGGAGCTCTTTGTACTGTTCTTGCAACTTTTTTTAATGTTTGAAATCATTTCAAACTAAAGTTCCTGAAAAAGTATATCTGTGCAATGATTACAACTGTAAGAATTTTATATTCTTGCCAAAAGATAAGAAAGGAAACATGGGGAAGAAGAAAACATCTGACCTGAAGGGGCCCAGAGTGTGGGTGGCGTTTTTTCTTCTCACTAAAATGAAGTGCCAACGTCGATCATGTTGCTCGAGACACACAAAAAAATTCAACAATAACCAAATAACTATAAGGGGGGAAAGTGATTATCCAATGGGATGCCCCGAGGGCTTCCAAAGGTGACCCAGAGACACCAGACTTATGATTAAGTAAGTCTTGGCACTGCCTGCCGCCCAGGGGGATGGACACAAGGGTGTCTTTAGACGGGTGCTCTGAAGCTCCCCAACTACCATGCCACCTTCCCGGAAGACCTACCTTCATCATGGCTTCGTTGATCATGTTCTCACTGATAATGGTGGCAGTTCCCAAGCTGGAGTTAGCAATCTTGGTGGCCGTTGTGTTCATGGGCTTCACAGGATGAGGTCTAAAGAGAAGGGGGAGAGGATCCTTAGACACTTCTGTAAGGAAGGGCAAGACCAAGAGACTGCCCCTCTCAAAGATGGCAGCCAGCGAGCTAGATAGACGAGGGGCAGAATGGTCCACGCCGCTGTTCACATCTCCGGTGTCTCAGTTCCTGTGCAAACGGAGGCAGTCGGGGCCAGGCAGCCACAGGCAAGCCAGCAACGCACGTCCCTGGCCAGGTGTCCTGATGTTCTCAGGGGACCCTCAGTCTTGTTATGAGTATCAGGAGAACCTTAAAGGCAGTCTCTTATTGTTGGGGGCAGCTAGAGCCTAGGACTCCACACGGTGGAGCTCCCCGCAGAGCTCTGTGTCACCGGAGCAAAGAAAAGAGTTCAGAACGAACTTGCCGGGTGCACGCTGGGCACTGCTTGAAGGAAGTTCTCAACACCGCTAGACCCTGCCACCCACTGTCATCACGTGAGGCTGTTAAGATACTGGTCACCCACACCTCTGCAACGTGTGAGCTCCAAATGTGACCCTGCTCAGAACGATTCCTGAGCTGTCTTTGAGGACTGCTGCTCTGATCTTGCTAGGGACGTGGCAGTGTCTGGAGTCACTCCCCCCAGGAGGGACGGCCCCCGCCGGCACGACAGGCGGGCTGCAACACCAGGACATCTGTGCCAGCAGAAAGCCAAAACCCCTGCAGGCAACGGGCTGGGGGGACACGGCTCACACTCACAAAGGCGATCTCCCCGTCTCTCACCTGTGCTTGGCCGGCCCGGGGCCAGCGCCCGGCTGAGCTGAGACTGGATGTGTCTCTGAGGGTGAGACCCAGGCCTGGAGGAGTGGCTTCCTCTTGCCAAAATGTTCACCTTTCCCCGCCGAGCCCTCTGCTGTTGCTTTTTTTTGAGATTCTGCTGCACTGGCGTGCTGGGTGTCAGAATGTGGAGAGCCGGGGACAGAGAGCGTGGAGAGAAAGGGCTCAGAGAGGGAGGGGCTGGGGAGGGGAGAGGCCAGGGACGTGCCAGGACGCTGACTAAGACTCCCGCTTCCCTTCGGGTTTTCTCCCTCGCCACCGCCGGGGCCTGGCAGCTGTGCCTCCGAACTGGGGCTCTGGCCAAGGTGTGGCTTCTGGATTCCTAAAGCCGCGGCCTGTCCCGAAGGGGCTGCCACGGACGCTCCGGGCGCTTTCGGCCTGAAGTCCCTGGGCGGGCTCTCTGCAGGCGCCCGCCCGCCCGCCCCCACGCCGGTGCTCCAGGACGCAGTGGCCACCTTTGCTGTCTTTCTGTCCTCTTCCACCTGGTCTATTCTTTCATCATCCGATGCGACCTCGGGGATGGAAGGAAGGGTCAAGTTCAGGTCAGCCGTGGTGGGAAATGGAACATCGGGGGCTGACCGGAGGTCCCCCAGGGGGTCAGACAGCAGCCCTTCGTGGTCACTGGCTTTGCTCTGGCGCTGGGCCGGCAGGGCATCCTCTGCCCACACCCTGAAGGGCAGGGTGTCTCCCGCTGGGCTCTCGGGGCCCTGGGAGAGGCGCTCCTCGTGGGAGGGGCGGAGGGCAGGACCCGCCGGGGGCCCTGGTGCGGCGGCAGTGGGTTCCCCCTCGGTGTCTTCTGTGCGGGAATCTCCAGCAGGCTCCCCGCCGGATGCGGTTCCAGCGGCTGTCCCCGCAGCAGCAGCAGCCAGCTCCTGGGGACAGCCCTCGCCCTCTTCTGTGCCCCCAGCGGGCCTCGCCACCTCCTCTTCGTCCAGGAGCTGCTCGGAGAACGACACGTGCTTCTTGGTTTTCTTTCGGCCCTCCCTGGCGTTCAGGTCCGCTCTCTCTGCAGACTTGCCCATCCCGGAGTCAAACCAGGGGGCCGCCTCTCCCGCGTGAAGAGGGGGCACGGCGGCTGCCGTAACTGAAGCAGTCGCCCCACCGTCCCCAGCTTCGTTCCCCACCCAAGGCCCGGGCAGGGGGGGCCTCCCAGCCGGGCCCGCCACTCTGCCACCGCCCCGTGGAAGGACAGACGCCTCTTCTTCCCGGGCCTCTTCAGGTGGGGAGTGGTCTCGTTCTGTGCGCGGGGGCCTCAGAAGCCCTTCTTGTCGCCCCGTTTTAGGCTGCTCCCGAAGAGGCTCCTCGGATCCGCCCCTGCTGCTGCTCTCCGTGCCTGTCTCTGGGGGCGTCCGGGGCGGAACGGGCGGCTGTCCCCAAAGTGACCCCAGGGCAGAAGAAACGGCATTCTTCGGGGCTGGTGCTAAATTCTCCTTCTGCAACTCTGCCCCAAGGAGCGGGGGCGGCTCTCCAGACCTGGCCGGGCCCTTGTCTGCGGGAGGCCAGCTCTCGACTGGAGTGGACGTGGCAATGGGCGCTGCTATGGGGGAGGAGAGAGAGGAGGCGGCAGAAGGACTCTCAGAGGACCGTGCCTCTGAACCACGCTCCGAATCAGAGGGGACAGGTGCCCGGCCAGAACCAGAGCGGGAAGCAGGAAGAGGAGGAGGAGAGTGAGGGTGAGGAGGGGGCCTGGCTGTGGGCTGGGGCTCTGGAGACACGTCCAGTCTGCAAAAACGACAAAATAAAATCTGCGGGTCAGTTGCAGACGCATGCGGGAGACTAAAAACATGCAAAAATAAACCCGTTTGAAAGGGAGAGCTGTTTTTTTTTTTGTTTGTTTGTTTTTTTATACATTTGGGGCAGTACTTTAAGAAGTTAACGAAGGAATATCAATACTTAACCTACGAAAGGGACACTTTCATCCCCGAGCACATCTGCCACACAAAGGCCCGTTGCAATAGAGAGGAAGAGACCCGGGCTATGCAACCGCCTACAGTTTTTCGTGTTGACTGACACAAAACCCTAGCATTTGACTACCTCGGGACAAAAAGCACCTAGAGAGTTGAAAGCAATAAAAGATGTAAAGCAACAGGCACAGATGTTTAAGAGGAACAGGCTGTGTGTGTGTGTGTGTGTGTGTGTGTGTGTGTGTGTGTGTGTGTGTGTCAGAACAAAGCAAGCAGAATCTCCAAAAAAAAGCCCCTCAAAAGTCTGTCCCGCCCCGGACCACAGAAATACTGTGTGAGTCACTCGATCAGCGAAGCCCCCAAGGCTCACACGGGCTCTTGCAGGGCAAGAGTGACCACGCAGGGGACTGTCCACAGGCACCCTTGAGAGTGGACTGAGGGTCTCTCACGCCAGCAACCCGGTGCCAAAGTACGAGGAGGAAAGATAGCACCGGCCTCACAGGGAAATGTGTGATAAGAACTTAGCGAACATGGGCTGTGCCCTACACCAGAACTCAAGCTTGCAGCTCTCAGGACCTGCTCCACGCCGGCCGCTGCATTCCACCGCGATCGGATCAGCTAGTCCAGACGGACAGACCGTGGCCTGGGGCTGGGAAACATCCCTGCGGTCTGCACAGGGCAGGCCAGGCTGGCGGGAGGGGCTGGCTAAATAACGAGGTAGCCCGCAAACCTTTGGCGCACACAGGTACCGTCGTGGAGCCAGCAAGAAGGGGGCCTTGCTGAGCGCCACGCGCAGTGGGGTGGGAAGGCTGCGTGGCAGGGCCGGGGACTCACCGGGGTTTGACAGCTCTGGTCTGGGGAGCCCTTGCCGCGGGGACAGGTGGTTTTGGCTCAGACCTGGACTCCGGGTCGGCTTCCGGTTCTGTGATCTGCACGTCTTCGAAGGGGTTCAGAGAGTCACCCCGTCCGGAGACAACGGCCATGGTGTCTTTCTCGGCTCTTCTCCCACGGTCCTCGCTGGCCTCCGTGAGCGAGCCTCCCCTCTCCTTCCCCAGGCCACCAGGGGGGCTTTCGCCGCCGCCGTCGGCGCTGCCCTTAGCCACGTCCTTCTTCCCTGTCACCAGGGAAAGCAAAGAGGACTTCTTGTTCTCCGGCTTCTTGCTCTCTCTGGCGGCCTCCGGGTTCGCCAGGGCTGTGTTTTCCCTGGTGTCTTTGCCGGCCGGCCGGTAGGCTGGCAGAGACAGGGACTTCAGAGCATCCTTGGCGGGGGACCCGGACAGCCGCCTGTCAGGAGGCACTTCGACTCCTTCCCCAGGCTCCTTCCAAGACTGGACGGCCAGGTTTTCCACGGATGAGAACAGATGCTTCTTCCTGAAGGCCTGCGGGGACGGGGAGGGGGACAGGCTGCTGTCCTTGGTCTCGCTCTTGGCTTCCGGCTGCTCCAGGTAGACGTGGTTCCCGTTGATGCACACGCTAGAGCGGGAAAGCACGTCGCTCTTAGACCGGAGGCCGCCGAGAAAGGAGAGGCCCTCCTTCTTGGGGAGGGTGAAGCCCACCGGGTTGGGCTGCTTCAGATCCGTGCTCGCCGTTCTCTTGTGAGCCGCGGCTGTGGGAAGGGACACAGAGAACGGAAAGAGGACAAGTTAAGCGAGCAGTCTGCTATGCGGAGGGAGGGCACCTGTCGACACGTTTTTGGCTGTCACAGTTGGGCGTGGAGGGTACGACTGGCATGTAGCATCCTATACAGCGCACGGCACGGCACCCACCACAGAGGATTCTCTGGCCCAAACCGTCCGCAGTACCAGTTGGGAAACCCGACGTTAAACCAATGAAAAGGGCGTCACTCTTGGGAGAGTGGCAGAATCTGGCCAATAGGAGGGACTCAGTCATTCAAACTGAAGTTCAAAACACACAATTAATTCAGAGTCCGAGGACTTACACTCTGGGCTTTCATTAGGGATGTGCCCCAGGAGAGAGAAGTATATCAGAGGAGCTCAATAACTATCTGATGAATTAGTGAAAAATCAGAATAGGTTCCATGATTTTATCCTTAAAAAAAAAAACCAAAAAACAACAATTAAAAAAAAAACAGACCAGGGCCAAGCGTGGTGGCTCACGCCTGTAATCCCAGCACTCTGGGAGGCCGAGGTGGCGGATTGCTCGAGGTCAGGAGTTCGAAACCAGCCTGAGCAAGAGCGAGACCCCGTCTCTACTATAAATAAAAAGAAATTAATTGGCCAACTAATATATATAGAAAAAATTAGCCAGGCATGGTGGTGCATGCCTGTAGTCCCAGCTACTCGGGAGGCTGAGGCAGGAGGATCGCTGGAGCCCAGGAGTTTGAGGTTGCTGTGAGCTAGGCTGACGCCACGGTACTCACTCTAGGCTGGGCAACAAAGTGAAACTCTGTCTCAAAAAAAAAACCAGACCAGGCATGGTGGCTCATGTAATCCCAGCATTTTGGGAGGCAGAGGCGGGAGGATCACCTGAGGCCAGCCTGAGCCACATAGCAAGACCCCAGCTCTAAAAAAAATTTTTTTAAAATATTGGCCAGGCATGCCTGTAGTCCCAGCAACTCGGGAGGCTGAGGCAGGAGGATTGCTGGAGCCCAGGAGTTTGAGGTTGCTGTGAGCTAGGCTGACGCCACGGTACTCACTCTAGGCTGGGCAACAAAGTGAAACTCTGTCTCAAAAAAAAAACCAGACCAGGCATGGTGGCTCATGTAATCCCAGCATTTTGGGAGGCAGAGGCGGGAGGATCACCTGAGGCCAGCCTGAGCCACATAGCAAGACCCCAGCTCTAAAAAAAATTTTTTTAAAATATTGGCCAGGCACAGTGGCTCACACCTGTAGTCCCAGCTACTCAGGAGGCTGAGGCAGGAGGATCGCTTGAGCCCAGGAGCTCGAGGTTGCAGTGAGCTATGATGATGCCACCTGCACTCCAGCCTGGGTGACAGAGTGAGATCGTGTCCTTAAAAAAAAACAAACAAACAAACAAAATAAAACAAAAAAACCTGGATGCACTCATGGGACTCATCCTGTTAGCTCCAAAAGCTTGAGCTTCTGCACGTCAGTTACGGGGCCAGACATTCTGGACGGGGAACGACACATTCTTAGCGACCTTCAGAAGGCTCAGAAACAGAGGGGCCCCCACCACGCTCGTTTCAAGTCACTGAGATGCTGGGTCAAAAGCCTTCCTATTCCGACCTGTTTCTCCTCCCTCCGCACGTGTCTGGGAGGAGGACGAAGGTCCCCGGGGAAGGCGGCAGGCACTCACCGTCCGAGGCGGAGGAGGAGGACTCATCCTCCTCTTCTTCCTCGTCGCCCCACCGGGACGGGAAGTCCCCGGGGCGCAGCAGCACTCTGCCTGAACCTGAAGTCGGCAGGACGGACATGGACTGGGAGAGTGGCGTCTTCTGCAAGTTAGACTTGGAGAACAAGGTCTTGATCTTCGACTTCTTCTTCCTGTCCCTGGAGGGGGACTCGTCGTCGCTGTCCACAGACGGAGCCGCCGTGGCGGGCACGATGGCCGACACGGTGTCGGACGGGCCGTCCTTGTTCCGCCCCTTGAGCTTGTCCTTCAGTTTCCCGAACGGGTTCCGGGACTTGTCCTTCATGGACAGGTCGAACATGCTGGCGGTCATGTTGTTCCTCATGAACTGGATGTCGACCTCGATCTCCCCCCGCTCCTTGTCCTTCTTCCCCGGCTTGGACCTCAGGGGGTACCACCTGGAAGGGACGAGGGCATGGAACTCGTCCCAGTCCCCGCGCCAGCCTGGCCCTCCCCTCCGCCCCTCCCCGCCAGCACCAGCCTCCTACACAGACGCTTTCTCTTTGGGGAGAGGCGGGAGGGTCCTGGGTACAGGGCGGAATACTGTACTTTTATTTTTGAGAAGAGGACCATTTCTAAAAATAAATAAAAAAAAATAAAATAAACCATTCCTTGAAATCACTTCCAGTGACTGACACTTTCCTTCGATGGGGCGCAAATGCAAAGATCACACACACAAACAGCCGAGGAGGCAGCGGGCAGGTGGGAATGTAAATCGCAGAGAAAAACCAAGAGTTTGTATTAAGGAACAGTTCCTGCCAGGGAGTAAGGGAACATACATGACACGGGTTTTTTGTTTTTTTTAAAAAAGAGTGAAATAAGTCAGTCTCGAAATGACAAATACTATATGATTCCACTGATGTGGGGTACCTGGGTGCTCAGGTTCATCGAGGAAGAGAAGAGTGGTGGCTGTCAGGGGCTGGAGGACGGAGGGGCAGGGGAGCTGACGTTTGGCGGGCACACACTGAAGTTGGGGACGATCCACGGTGGCGAGGGACGTACAGCAATGTGAATGCATTTAACGCCACTTGGACGGTTAAAAATGACTGTAAAATTATTTGCAGTTATCGTTCAACTAAAATTTAAGATGGCAAATTTTATGTTGTTTACCGCAACAAAAATAGAGAAATTAGGCCGGGACGGTGGCTCACGCCTGTAATCCTAGCACTCTGGGAGGCCGAGGTGGGAGGATTTCTCGAGGTCAGGAGTTCAAAACCACCCTGAGCAATAGCGAGACCCCGTCTCTACTATAAATAGAAATTAACTGGCCAACTAATATATATAGAAAAAATTAGCCGGGCTGGTGGTGCCATGCTGTAGTCCAGCTACTTGGGAGGCTGAGGCAGGAGGATCGCTTGAGCCCAGGAGTTTGAGGTTGCTGTGAGCTAGGCTGACGCCACGGCACTCACTCTAGCCAGGGCAACAGAGTGAGACTCTGTCTCAAAAAAAAAAAAAAAAATAGAGAAATTGGAAAGGGGGTATTCTTCTCTGTCTTAATACTCAGAAAAAGGAACATACAAATATTATTCAAGTATTCCACACAATCCTTTGCAAACGATTTCGAGACATGGCAAATAACATCATACTAGTGCGACTCCACTGACTGACAAACTCCAGAGAAAGGAAAGCACCCCCTTGGCAATCACTTTCCACCCGGCAGTCCTACACCGCTGTGGGACCACGGGGGAACTGCGAGAATGCGACCCCATTAGTAGCACGACCAAATGCCTCCAGACACCTGGTCTACTGAGAGCCGTCCCCAGGGTCGCCCTGGCAAACTGAGAACTCTCACTCAGATGCTCTTTTCGGTGACCTATTTAAGAGCTGAGGGCCGAGGGCTTGAAGGAAATGATGGTTTTGTCCAAAAGAGCACCACTTCCTCTCCCGGTCAGCCACAGCCGGGCTTGCTCCCAGGGCAGGGCAGGCCCCTGCCCCCACGTCTTGGCTCGCTCTGCACTTGCAGGAAAGGGGTCAAGGGAAGGAGAAACCCAACACCTGAGCAGCACCTGCCTCGGGCCTGGCCTGGCGTTGTACACACCAGGAAACATCCTCATTCCAGCCACTCAAGGAAGACGTGCGGCAGACAGCGTACTCATTTTACAGAGAGAGGAGGAAACCGAAGTTCACCATCTCGGTTATCTGTGCGAGGTCTTGCAATTGTTCTGGAGTACAGCTAGGATTCTCAATGAGCTCTGCATTTCCCCAAAGCTCCTGTTCTTTCTCCCACAACAGGATTCCTGCTTTAAACTCTCTCCTGATTCATCTTTGACAGGCTGTCTTTTGTGACACAGAGAAAGGAGGACTCTAATTTAAGCTCTTTTAGAGGAAAGTTTAAGCTTCTGACTTAAATGTGCAGGCCACCCACAGACTGCAATCCTGGTACTTTGGGAGGCCCAGGAGGCAGCACTGCCTAAGGCCAGGAGTTTGAGACCAACCTGAGGAAAACAGAGAGACCCTCATCTCTACAAAATTTAAAATGTAGCCGGGCGTGGTGGTGCGTACCCGTAGTCCCGGCTACTCAGGAGGTTGACACAGGAGGATCACTTGAACCCGGGGGGTTTGAGATTGCAGTGAGCTGGGATGACGCCACTGCATTTTAGCCCGGGTGACCGAGTAAGACCCTGTCTCAAAACTACATAAATAAATAAATAAATATCCAAAGATAAAAGGAGAAAGGAAGAAAACCACCACCGCTTGCCATCAATCACAAATCACAAGACTGAACTGAAAGTTCAGTATACAAAATCATCAAGAAGGATTTAAAACGGATTACCAAAATATAGCCAAGATCTGGTAAAATTATGTGAGCTACAGTTTTGGACCTTTAGGAGAAATCTGTTATGGTGTGTAAAACCCAAATCCACGGGCGGGGGAGGGGGACTGATGTGATGGGAGATGCAAGTCTCTACACAGGACTCCCTATCCATCCCCAGGCTGGTATCTTTCCAATACATTTCCCAGGACCGGCCTGGAATAGTTTGCATATTTGTCACTTAGAGGTTGAGAGGATTATTTGTATTTTTCTCTTCTGACAGTCACGTGGTAAATGGTAGCCTTGGTGACGAAGGGTGTTTGGCTTCTGTAAATACCAACTGGAGGCACCTGAAAAGGAGAAGTTGCTAAAGGCTCAATGCAGAGGCTCAGATGACCACAGGGCAGGGAGAGAACCCAACCCCACCTCCTGCCCCGGGCAGAGTGACCCCTCAGCCCAAGGCTTCCCCCCAGCTCTTCCACTTAGCTGCTTCTATCAGCCCTCCCCAGAGATGCAAAGACATCACAGACCTTCAAAGAAAGCCACCTGACAACTCCAGGGCCAGCCCTCCCTTTCCAAAAGTATCAGTGACGTTTTGGTTCCCATTTCCTGGTGTTTTTATGAGCAAAGCTACAACCAACTCCAGAACACTCCCTGGGGACCGATTATTATTACCCGACACTCAGTTCCGATCCCCAAGCATGAAAGTGGGATTTGTTCTAGAAACTTCCAACACCATTAGGGGGTGCAAACAAAAACTTCCCCAACGGTTCTTGATGTTTATTTCACAAGCAAACCTAAAACCGACCCCAGGAAGTCAAGAACGGCCACGGGGGCTATTTAAGTATGTGAAAACCAGACTGAGTATCTCAGGCAGGTAAGCAGCCAGCCAATGTTCAGAATTTTAAAAAAATCTATGCTGGATTATTAAAGTTGCAAAGGAAACCAGGAATTGTTTCTTCTACTACTATCAATATTATCCTTAGATTCAAAAACAGTTTAATGGATATTTGACCCAACCATAATTTGATAAGATGAGTAAAAGCCACAGTCCATGAATGCCTTGTCCTAAGAAATCCCAAACCAGGACACAGGCCAGGCGTGGTGGCTCACGCTTATAATCTTAGTGCTCTGGGAGGCTGAGGAGGGAGGGTGATTGACGTCAGGAGTTTGAGATCAGCCTGAGCAAGAGCCAGACCCTGTCTCTACTAAAAATGGAAAAATTAGCTGGGTGTGGTAGGGCGTGCCCGTAGTCCCAGCTACTCAGGAGGCTGAGGCAGGAGGATCATTTGAGCCCACAAGTTTGAGGTTGCTGTGCGCTAGAATGACATCATGGCATTCTAGCCTGGGCAACAGAGTAAGACTCTTGTCTCAAAAAAGCAAAAAAATAAAATAAAATAAAATACCAAGACACAACTGTAGGTTTTAACATTTAAGATCCATTCAGTTTCTATGTATTTCTGTCCACTTTTTTTTCAAGTTCATTTAATTCCTGCACCTCCCAGAAGCTGTTCATAAATAATAAAGTCCCAGGCCGCGGCATGGCATGAGGTGGAGGTGTGGGTGTGTTCCGGCATTACCTTTCGCACGGCCCAGAACGCTGCTATTATCTCAGAAATCAGGGTTGGGTCCATTTTGCTAGTCCAAAGGGCAGAGTACAGAAAGAATGCCATAATCTCAGTGTAGCAAGTTTATCTTAAGCCTGTATTCTGAAAAAAATCCTGCAGTCTATTAAAAAAAAAAAACCAAGTGATCCTTTCTATAAGTAAATAATTTTTTTTGCTTATAAATAAAACTTGGTCCTGTAAGAATTAAAGGGATCTTTGAATATGTAGAAAGTGACAGAAAACTTCTATAAACTGTATCGCTCTCTCTCTCTTTTTTGTTTTTTAAGGGTCTTACTCTGTCACTCAGGCTGGAGTGCAGTGGCCCAATCAAACCTCACTACTGCCTTGAATTCCTGGGTTCAAGTGAATCCTCCTACTTCAGCCTCCCAAGTAACTGGGACTATAGGTGCGGCCACCCCACCCAGCTAAGTTTTCTTCTTTTTTTCTGTCGTAGAAAAGGGGTCTCGAATTCCTGGCCCCGAGCAATCCTCCCACCTCAGCCTCCCAAAGTGCTGGAATTATAGGCATGAGCCACCACACCCAGCCTAAACTATACTTTTAAGTAATAACAAGCATTGGGTAAAAATTCAAATCATACAAAACGGTACAGAATGAAACATTCCGTCTTCCTCCAACCCCTGACCCCATGCTCCCCCCGCCCTCCTCCCAGAGGTAACCACTGTTACCTGTTGTGTGCACCCTCCCAAGTGGTGGTCCGGGCAGATACAAGCAAGTGGCCAAACAGGCAACCCTGCTGGGTTTTTGGGTTTTTTTTTTTTTGGTCAAACATAAGACAACAGCTAAAAATATACAAAAAGTCACTTACGTCTTTTACACTTCCTAAAAGATGTCTTAGGAAGAGAAATAGGGGACTATGAAAGAAGAATGGGCTAGGTGAGAAAGACGCACGACGAGTCCCCGTCTGCATGACCGAGCAGGGGCAGGACGCTGGCTCGACTGGGGAGGCAGGTGTCTGGATCCACACTGTGAAACGTCCTCGGCTTTTTTTTTTTCCTTTCTTTTTTTAGTATGTTTATTT